AGATCACTTAATAAACAATTTAGAATAAGATCCAAACGGTCAATCAACATTTTTGAAAAGTACTTGTGAGATTTTTGTGATGGATATTTCGACATTGTCCAATAACTGTTATGTTACAAAACGTCGAAATATTTCCACATACAGCCCGACTCCCACACTCGTTCACACATGTAGAGTGCTGCTTCAGATAACAATCCAACAGCCTCCTCCAACGCTCTGTCAACATCGTTACAGCCTGATAGTATCGCACAATGCCGCTTTTAATCTAATAGGTAGAGCAACAACCTGCTTCCATACGAAATGGCTATAAGTTTACCCTAGAAAGAGGCAAAAGGTTATTAAAGTTTTTTCAAATATTTCGCAATTATACGGTTGGTTACTAACAAAACGTAATGATCATAATTTTCCTGTCCCTATCTATGCCAAACAACATGTTATTGCCTCAATTTCAATAGAAGGAATTCTAAATTCGATTCGACAGGCATTTTGTTAGTAGATCAAATAAATAAGATAATTCAATGTATTGGCGGTTAAAACAAATTACAAATTCAACTGACTTTCGTTATTCGACCGTTATACAACTGTTTGAAACGGCTTATCGATCGGAGGGAAATTAAATTCCCATGCCATGCACAACTTTGAACCCTGCAAAGGTCAGGCCGTGTTTACAATAAATTATGACTTGCAGTAACATTACCATTACGTTACCATCATCAAACAAACTGAAAGATAGGTATTACTTAAACATGCACTTTTACATAGATGTAATGTTCCCAGAGCATAAACATTACTATTTAAATATTACGTGTAATATTTACAGCTAGGATAATATTTACAGCTAGGACATCTAGCTGCTTTGTTTGTTTTTACCTGGCCAAATGTACGCAGATTTAGAAACTAAAACTAGATTTATACAGTCGCGGAATGAAAAGGTTCGTCACCTTAGTGTCGGTTTTCGCTTGCACTAGGTACTGTAAGAGTCAAGCCTACCAACATAACCGTGCAAGAAACATTGCTGCTAATATTTAAATAAATATGACGTTTGCTAACGAATAAGGTTTTGCTTGTTTATTTTTCTATCCCATCAGTGCAATAAATAAATAATAAATAAATATAAATAATAATGGCAGGTTGAACCAACAAGAAGGTTTTAGTTTATCAATCATAATAATCTTCTTGACAAGTCAAATCGTCAAACAACTTTGATCTGAATAATTTTGAACTTTACTGCCGAACAGTTAAAGATTATTTTCTCTAACTCGAGATTATTCTGTAACATACTTTCAAAAGGTAATATGCGCTCGCGATTCGTTGAAGGAATCAATTTGAAAACTGACGAACCTTTTCATTCCGTGACTGTACCTACCCCAGAAAATGATGAAACTATGAGCAAATGGGTCACTGAAGATTTACTGCCTACAGAATGGTCTACAGGCGTGCTCTGTCATAGCATGGTACTATTACTATTTTGTGGTCATAGGCAAATTTTATAGGTACTTATCGTTGTCTTGTATCTCCTTCATTAATAGTATGTATCTTCTTAGAAGGCACATCGTAATATGTAGAGGTCAAACAGTTTTATAACACAAAGTGTCTCCCAAAATGGTTTTATCACATGATTGCGCTAACCATGTCACGGCCGGCGGGTGTCCCGCTTGCAAGACGGCTCAATAGATAGCGATATTGGCTTAGCTCCAATAGATACAAAAGGCAAGTTTCTGTTGAATGCTACATGTGTCAAGAAAACAAATCGGACTTTATCAACGAATATGAGAACTACCTAAGGTATTTATGTCGTTCTATCCAAGCATTCTACCTATGTATTTATAATTTTTAAGTGCGAACGTTAATCAACTGAATTAGTAGCCCAACAACCCTCACAATGACAATTCCAGCCGCCAATTTTTAGAACCCAGCCAAAAAGATTTTAAATCAAAAAGTAGGACCCCCTAACGTTTTCAATCTCATCATCTTCCCGCTCTTACTATTTCACAGTGTTTTTAAGACTCGAGTAAGCGTGTTGAGGATAATGGACTTACTCGTACCATTACCATCAGATGAGAATATAATTTTAGGTCAAACGCAGATTCGTTCGAATTTAAGAAAATAAATTGCGGGATTAGGAAGTTTTATGACTCTACCGTGTATCAATGTTACGTAACCTCCGCCCCAGTTAAATTTAGGTCGGCTCAGCGGGACAGAGCTGATTACAGGATGCCTGCATTGCCAGCTGTGCTGCAATACAGTAATATTGTATTACTGATTAGCTTAGATATCAGTTCACAAACAGTCAACACGTGGACGTATTTATCTCGTGTTACGTCAGAATAAACATGAACAAACCGCCCATGACTATTAACATAGTCGGAACTGCAAAATTGCCATTTTCATTTTATTTCATAATTTGTGCTTAAATAATACAAGCTATCATCAGGTGAAACAAAAATTATGATTTTATGCATAGTTTTTGAGATAACTACATTAAAAATGTCGGATATTGCCTAGATAGTCCGTTAGCAATGCCGNTTACTGATTAGCTTAGATATCAGTTCACAAACAGTCAACACGTGGACGTATTTATCTCGTGTTACGTCAGAATAAACATGAACAAACATTTGATGTTCGCTAGATATATGTATAGAGAATTAAGAAAGCATACATCGATACAAGAATTCTCATGGTTTCGTCTGTCAGCACACCCAGAAACGAGCAAGTTTAGTTAAATTGGAATTAAACTAAGAACCCCCGCGTTTAAGATTCACCCCACTAAGTAGGTACATACATTAAAATTTACATACCTACTTACTTATTCGAACTGTGTGTAATTTAAGCATGTACACTGTACGTTGGTACACACTTATCGTAAAAAATACAGTTAAGTAAATTAAAAGTCGTTGCATTTTTTCGTAAGAGTTGGGTGTACTACAGCTGACAGGCAGTGGGTGTATCTTACTAATTAAATATTATGTATCATATCATTAAGCTTTTACAGTTTGATATAGATTTGGAAGACAAACCTGTATCAACGATTTAATTAGGTAGCTTCATTTGAGAAAGCAGTAAAGAAAGCTTGAACAAATTGGATTATGGCGGAATTATTTTTTGGTAGTAGTATGCAGTCGCATACGCACCGATTTAAAATGTTATCATTCGATAACATTTTAAATCGGTGAACAAAAGATCAACAATCCTATTGCGTTGTTTTTTGCACTATAACTTTTGGAATGGTGACGAGACATGTACAGGAAATTTAATTCCTCTGAGGTCCCTGAGGTCAACATCTCCGCTTGACACCATTACGGCACGTACCAGAAGTGCGCATACGCAGTAAACAATAAGCACCCATTGTTACGGTCACGCTCTCGACTTGTAGCACTCGAACCCGTGCTCGAACCTATATGCCGCTTGCTTATTGCATGCATGGAAAATTTGTCATGCACTGACCTCAGAACTGTGTTTATGCACCATACGTACATTTAACGTTTACTTAACTGTTTACTCGTACCAATGAACAGCAGAATGGATGGATAGGAACCTCGTGGTTCTTTCTTTAAGTTTTACGAATAGAAATTAGAAAATATTAGATTAGGTACCCAACTGAATCTATCTGATCACCCAGGTAGGTGATCAAAGTGGACTCCAGGTGACACTTTGGTGTCCTTTGATCACCTGGATTTAATCGCCCAGGTGAATAGACCGAATTTTAGGCAAGATAAGTTAGGAGCATTGTAACATATCATATCGACTTTTAATAATAGGCAGGTAGGTTACTTACAAGTGTACTTCTCATTTCTAATCCAATCAATCTTTGTTCCAGAATGACATCCCCAGCCATTACCAAGTCGCCAGACAACCAGAAGGGCGAGAAGAAGTCTCCGAGCCACTCGGCCGGGGCTCCGGACGCGCCCCGGGCGGAATCCCCCGCCGCGCCGGCCGCCCAGGCCTCCACCTCCCAGGCGGAACCCTTCAGTTGGCTGCGAATCTTCAAGCTCGCCGACCTCATGATGAAGCAGGGATGCTAAATCGTAGACCTTTGCCATTTCTAGTTTTAATTCTTTGATGTTTTAAGTCTTTATGCAAACTTATTAGCAATAAATGACAAGAAATAAGAAAGTATTAATAACGTTATAGGTGGTAGTGATAAAATTTAGTGTTTTTTTATCCATTCTCAAATTGTGTAATATCAATCTCAACAGCTCGATGTGATAGTAACAACATAAATTAAAGTTTGTTTTCACCTATAAGTAGTAAGTACTGCATTCAAACTGCCGACTATGTTATTGATATGATTGATGGTTTTACGTAATAAAAATACTTTTGACGTAGGTACAAAACCTAGTGCATGCCCTAGGCTACAATAATTAAAATAGTTTTGAATCAGAAATGTTATGTAGAGTAATGCAATTAGCAGGTCAATTTTTAATAATTTTACAACTGCGCAACTGCTGCAGTATAGATGTAGTAGAGATATTATTATGGAGATATTTATCATAAAATAGTATATTACGATATTTATTGTTTAGAAGAATGTTTTGTCTTCTATTTATTGTTGTTACACATATTTAGACACATTATGTAGATAATGTTTTACCCATCTTACTGATCTGTTATTTATAGAAACTTGGTTTCAATAAACCTGCCTAAACGGCACATTCCATTAGCTTACAATACAAAATTAACCGTGCCCTTTGAAATTGTAAGCAGTTTTAAACTTATCAATAATGTTAAATAAAAATATTAATGAACAATATGTAGAACTGTTTCATTTATTTCCTAAAAACATAACTAGGTGGAAGGTGTAATTATACAATACATAAATGGTACATTTGAGCAATGAAAAACACTTGTGTGTAATATTTTTTTAATAGTATTGGTAGGTAGGAGGTACATAACACGCAGGAGTCTGGGTCGTTTGGATAAAGGGAAGTAAAGATACAATACTATTCTCAATATGTACAAAATATACAATTATCTCTATAACCTAGCTTTTAAAACTATAATTATGATCACAATATTTTTATATCCTTACGCTCTGCTATAATCGGAACTGGCGGTGAGCGCGGCGGGCGCGGCCGCTGCGAGACTCAGGCCAACCGCACGTCACTTTTGCTGCACACTTGAGATCAAATGTTATTTTACAAATATTTAAACTCTAACATCTCTCACACCGGCAGCGGCCGCGCCCGCGCCCGCCGGCGCCGCGGCGGCCGGCTCCACCGCAGCCCGATTGTCAGTAAACAAAACTATATTATACTTCTCACGTTAGTTTACAGTAGTTAAATCTATTAAGTCTGCATTCACTTACGACTTAACACCGCCGAGGAAACAAACTATGAATATTTCAGTTTGAATAAACGATATTACGGAGCATGGAAAGCTTTACGAAAATATGAAATATTTATTAATTGATAATTGACATTTTAATAGCGTACCGCGAGGATTTGATTATTGACCGAGGGCACCGCGAGCCGGCACCCGATCGGGGAATAATCATACCCTTGTAACAAATAAGGAAAACGAGTAAATACCGATATTACCACAATAAATACATCTTTTTATAATTCTCATTTGTTTCTTACCTCATAAAATTTTCATTATCGAGTCTAAATACTGTACTGCTATGTTTCATGAAGACATAATATTTACATTGACTTCCTTCATAAGGAATAGAATAAATAGTGTACATTATTGGGCATCTGTTCGCTAATAAAATTATACTTTAAAATTAATGGACGAAGTGATGAGTTCGTTAGTGTTCCTCCTAGCCAAGACGAGAACTGTTTGCGACGGAAACATGACAAACAATCATTATTATATTATTTTTATACTCTACAATTTTAAACCTTAAAAGAATATACATAATAATATTACCTGTGCTATTATTTTCTATATCGTAAATATAAAATTACAATACATAAAATATTTTGTACTTTGTTTTTACGTACGACAGCACAGTCGCACCATTATCTAACTATACAATGTTATGCGAGATGCCGGTTAATCGAAACGTTAACACACTACAGATGGCTCAGTTGCTCACTTGCACAAATACACGAATTAACTGCATGCAGACGATCGAAACTTATGAGAAGTACAATATTGTTAGTTTCCGCGGTGTTCCAATTATTGCTATCGTTAAAAATCGAAAGACAAAGCGGAGGTCGGCGGTCAATGTGAGGAGTATTGTTAATAGTAGAAGCAGAGGGGCGGCGCGGCGGGCGCGGTAGAGAGCACACGAGCTACAACGGAGCGAATCTGCAAAACTATTGTCCCTAACATACACAAATTGTTACCAATCAAAATTTTAATTACGACATTATAAGATTTATTGAAGCACTTACACAAAACCTAACATTAAATAAAGAAATCAATCAACGCGTTAACAAATAGAAGAATTTTTGACCGACTACGGCGACGTCAAATGGAGAGCGATCATTTTAAATCAGATTAAGTTACATTTTAAGGTTAATTAATCATTTACATACTTTTTCTAAATCATTTGCATTCGATCCGCTTTATCGGAGCTGGACTTTGTACCTTTTAACAGTAAGAATAATAATAAGCAGTGCAATTATTGCGTAGACTGGACACACTTAAAAAAAAAAAAGAAAATTAACTCATTATCTGGAAAATTAAGTTTAAATTACCGTTACAAGGTGCAAAGCAAGAACATAAGCGAGACAGAGTACTGACTTCTGGGTTGATTCAATACTAATAGGAAACGATCACACACGAATACTCCGCAATTGGCGGCTAAGTATTCCTGTGTAAGCGATCACGAGAGGAGTTTTGTATGAAATGCATTAATCGGGGTATAGGAAACCGTTGCGGGGGGATGAGTCATGATGAGTGTAAAGAATGACCGCAAATACACATTCCACTAGTGTCATTCTGACATCCATTCATACCTTCATTGACAGCTAGCTATCGGAACAATGAATATCGCGAAGAGCGATACTCGCACGGCCACTTTTTCCTTATCCTGCCGAAGCCAAGTGTAAACCCGTTCTTACCGACTAATTTAGAATTAAGTATAGCTCCCTCGTGCGTCTGTCACAATCGATACGAACAGTTCGAACTCAGCTTGCGAATATCGCCCTTGTTGCCCCATAAGACTACCTAAAGTCTATAATAATTAGTCAGAATCACAGTTTATTTTTCATGTGTTATTTTCTTACTGTAATTACGTTTCTCGTCTATAATAATTTTACAAATAAACAGTATTCATTCCACCCAGTAATCGTGAGTTTTTCCATTATCTACCGTAATGACTTAAGCGAATAAATCGAATTTTAGTATGAATAGATTCGGTATTTACAGAATTTAAATTACTTTAGACCTAATCGCTTAAAACAAAATAACAATTTACACTAACAATAAAAAATGCTCGATAGATTGCCACTCATCTAATCGGAACCCAAAATTAAAAATATTTTTATAACTGACTTTGCCATTTATTATCATATTTTTTTTTATAAATTTAAACTCCGAATAACGTCGAACCCGGTCGACTATAACAAAAGTATTATACAAATAAGCTATGACTTACATCTAACACTTAAATAGGTGACGGCTTACCTAGATACATATGAGACTTTACACGGCGCGCGGCGCGGGCCATCGCAGTCGGCGGCGCCGCGCGCTCACAATAAATAACTAACGTACGCCACTAAACGAGAGTTCAGTTTCACAGAGGTAATCCAACTCAATTCCTACGGGCGGCCATCGTATCGACGATCGGACGCGGGGTCTCGTCAATCCACCAGGTCGTCCGACAGCTAAGATAAAGTAAAGTTTTAAAAAAGTTTCACAACCTGGCCATATTTACAATGCGTTACTTAATAAGTCGCTTAAAAAGGTCCATATCAGGGGATGCGGTGTCACTTCCGGGGCAGCGAGCGGGATTCGCGAGTTTGCGAGCCGCTCGGGCGGTATATCCGGGGTCGCTCGCGCGCTGGGCGAGCTAGGCGCGGGAAGGTAGTCGCGGCGAGCTCAGCGTGGGCCGCGCAAGTCACACGGTGGCGATGACGATGAGCAGGTGCGCGATGTCGGCCACGCGGTGCATGAGGTCGGGCGCGATGCGGTTCAGGTTCTCGTTGGCGAAGTCGCACGACGGGAAGATGTGTACGGTGAATAGAGCCTGGTGACAAAAAACGTACCGTTATAGCGCCACCCGCGACATTTCTTAATCCTATGTTGATGATGACGACGCCTGCTAGTGTGACACGTCACACTAGAACTAGGCCTGTTCATCTCCCCGAGTAGGCATCGAAAACAGAACAAGCGACACAGTAGCTTCTTGTAGCAGTCAGCCCCATCGCAACGGCACAATACCGATCACTGACGTATGTAAACGAAACGGTTCTCGACTCTAAGACAAGCTAAATTACAACATATTGTTGACGACATTAAGTAGAATTTTTTTTAAAGAAGAAAACTTTCTGTACTTTGAACCTTATTATTATTCTGTGGTTTACCGTTGACAACTGCTGCTTTAATTCGCTAACGGACACTATCTACTAACAAACATCAAACGTATACGGAGAAGGACACGTGCTAAATGTGCTAATACTTCTGAAGACATAGCACGACTTCGCCTAACATGTCTATGATCACGCGTCGCTTTTTATAGATCGTGTCATCCACGCATCCAACCAATTTTTGGTCGAGGGAAGTGCGGAGTGCAGGGAGTTAGATCCGAACAATCCGAGCGTCACTATTGTAGTGTGCGTGTGCACTCATGGTTAACTTAGCATGTACCGATAACACTCAAACATTAGTGGAAGAATGGTGAGGCGCGGCCTTGTTGATGACACGATCTAAAGCCTGGTCCGTGAGCACGTAGAATCCCGTCCAATGACCCCAAGCTGCCCATCCTTGTCGCTCGCACGTAATTATGTTGCTGTCGCGCTCGCACACTCACTGCGGGCGCGTGTCGCACAGTCGCGACTGGAATATAATTACGCGCGAGCGATAAGGATGGGTAGCTTGGGGTCATCGGACGGGATTCTACGTGCTCACGGACCAGGCTTTATACACTGTTAATAAACAATTGAACATCAGTTACCTGCTGGTGGCCGGGCGGCGCCACGTTGACGATGCCGGCGGCCTGCTTGCGCTGCAGGTAGGTGATGAAGCCGGCCGTGAGGTTGTTGGACTGCTGCAGCACGTCCATGTGGTCGCGCCCGCACGGCAGCGCCAGCAGTATGCAGTGTTCGTGTTCCAGCTGTAGGACATTACGTTGTTAATAACAAAACTAACACAAAATAATAGTGACTATTATAGTAACACAATTGAGGTCCCATTTCTCCTCGATTGATTCCTGTCAGAAAGTTGCTATCCCAAAGATTTAAGAATCAAACCAAAATAAGGAAGGGAATAAGTAGTAGACGTCGAACGTGGACTTGTGAACTTTATGTAATTGATACGAGAGTGGAAGAGTCCCCGATTCAAACGGAGAACGTATAATGATCACAGCGATTGACTATCTTCATAATGATAAATGTTTTTTAGCCGAGCACTTTATCGACTTCTTATTTTTAGTGTTTGCCAAGTGATCTCCTTGTTGCAACTATGCATAAGCGACAGAACGTTGTCATTTAAAAATTAAAATAATCTGCAAAAGTAGATCTAACGCCAGTTTCCACCAAAGCGGAGCAGAACAGAGCGAAGAAGCGTTGGACCGTCAAATTTTTCTATAGAATTTGACAACCGCGACGGGTCGGCGCGGAGTGGAGCTGTGCAGAGCGGAGAAGAGAATTGTAATAAATAATGGAATCTGATTGGTTATTCAAAACACTTCTTCGCTTCGCTTCGCCAAAACGTTAAAATAACGGTATCGTTAAAGCCAATGAGCATTTTGACATTGATATTACGTCAATGTCACTATGACATTTATTTTAAGTACTTTATTTATGAGAATAGTGCCCGTTTTCACCATCAATCCCTAATTTTTAAGTGAACCCTATGGTAACACATTTTGTTTACATAGGGGTCACTTAAAAATTAGGGATTGATGGTGAATACGGGCATAGATTTACCGGCGTCTAACAGTATCACATAATGGCGTACCTTCATCTTGCGGTGCACTTGGTCCAGCTGCGCGGGCTCGAGGCGCATCCTCTGCGCGATGCGCAGCAGCGGCGTGGAGCCGTCGGCCAGCACGGGCAGCGTGTCGCCCGCCACGCCCGGGTTGCCGCCCACGAAGTGCATTTGCACCGCGGCCGAGTCGTTCTTCAGGGCTAGCAGCCCTTGCCACATTACGGGGTAGCGCTGCGGGACAAAACAACATGTTATTTACTGAGCTTTAGTCACGGCACCGGTTGCGTTACGTCACATAACAACATGTTAATTTACAGTTCTTGCCACATCACCAGGTAGAGCTATGTTACATAGTAACATGGTTACTTTAAACTGTGCTTTTACTACACCACTGGGTAGAGGTTTATGACAGAAATAGCGACGTCCATTGCGGAACACAGGCCTCCAATAGTGGCCAGTAAAACATAAGCGAACAGCGATCTTTAACCACTCGCTTCAATAATTTCGAACTAAACGAGCCATTAACATTTACGGCCATTATTAAATTGCCAAAGTATATGATATTAAATCCCATATGCATTCAGTAATATAGCGTGTGCGTGTAATATTTCGGTGCATTACAGCCAGTCCAGTAACACCTGTATTCAGGGTAGATACTCACTCGCAGCAGTGTCTGGAGCGAGTCAGCCTCGCGCGGCACCTGCGACGCGTGCGGCGGGCCGGGCGCGGCCGACGGTGGCAGCGCGCCCGGCAGCCGCGACGTGCCGTGCGCCGGCGGCGGCGAGCGGCCGCAGCCTACTGCGTACACTGCGGGAAACAAACATTGACACGTCTCACACAACAAAATATAGAGCGGAACCAAGGCTCCAAAGTGTTCGCAAGAGACTACTCTATTGGGCAAAGCCAGCTGACTAAGCTAACGGCGGCGGACGGTAGTATAACGTTAACAAAAGCCGAGGTTCCGGGTGAGATCGAGAGGTTTTATGGACAGTTATATACCTCAGTCACCAAATCTGTTGATAGCTCAACCACAGATCCAAGAGCTAAACTAACTCGATTACTCGACACTATACCGAAGATAACAAAATTACAATGCACAAATAGTGGCAATTTTGAAACGACAAGTGGTAAAAACTAAAAATCAAGAACTAACAACCCCCTATTGATAGTTGCGCCCTACTGTAAGAATCATAGTTATATGATTGTCCTACGTGGCAAAAACCGGAACTAATAATCCAGTATTGATAGTAGCGCCCTCCTGACAATGTCATAGCTAGATATCTATAGTGTATACTGACAGTTGGTGGCATGCGTATCCAAAATTGTTGGACTATATTCGTATTATAACTGACTGGCTGCCTTCCTCTGGCAAACGATTCTATGTCCCAGTGTTTTTTTTTCTGTTGGAACTATTTCCATTTAGTTATGACGCATAATTCATGCCACTGTATCCACATCGCGCCAGTAACTTAAATCAATATTGTCGAGATAAAAATTGAAATCCTCGGTTTGAATATTTTTTAACGACCATTGGCTTTTGCGAACGACAAAAATTCATACGATATGAATAATAAGAGTAAAAAGTATTTAACGAGACTTCACTGTTAACCATTCTCAAATATACTTTTAAGCAATAATTTTTATATCTCCTATTAGTCATTATTTAGTTCTCACTATTCTTCTTATTTTCGTGTCGACAACAAACCTACACAGTGTCAGCCCAAAACTCCGCCACAAGTGTGGCGTTGTCTCACTATTACTCGGAACAAATAGGGTGATTCCATCCTTTTGTCCGCGGGTGTTAAGGCTTGGTATTTCTTCTAAAGTAGGTATTTCGCGCTGTCAAAATCTGCGCGCGCAATTCTTCGCCGAAAACAGCGCGTCAAAGAGCTCCCGCCACAATTTCCAGCTACACAGTATAGAAATACGCAGTTGGTTAGGTTAGGTTGACTTCCTTCCCTTCAAGCGTCACACTCACAACACTTTCTAATAGAAATCATATCCAAGTGATACAAATTAAAACACCTTTCAGACTTTTTGGGAATATATTCTAGAATCGAATAAATATAAAATATAACTGCAGAAGTAAACACTGTTCAAAGTGGCCGTGGCGTCGCCCGACCTTCTGGAAGTTCTGCGCCGGCTTAAAGAATTTCAAGATTACGTCACCCGACCTATCGGTAGGCCCTTGGGAGCTTGAGCGATTGGAATTTTTTTTTATGATAAGTTACTCTTAGTAGCGATTATTTAGAGCTTGGATAATAAATTTAATTATAGTTGTTGCAATTCACGAAGCTTTGCATGTGGTTAATAACATTAATCAGTATAGGTACGCATCAATTTTGTTCAGTCTCTTTGTTTATTAATAAATAAAAATATCATACTAAAATTGCAGAAACATATTTGTTTGTATTGGTCTGGGTGTTTTCTTTCTATAATATGTATGACGTATGTACGGGGTTCTGTACCTATCGAAAATTGCTATAAGCATCACACGCGGTTACCTGCGTACCTCTGTGCACTCATGGGAGTTTAAGCAGAGGTCCCTAGAGTTTGACTTTGAGCTTTGTTTATAGTCATTACGAAGCAGACTGATGGGAAACTGCACTGTCTTGAATTCGAAAGGGTAATTTGACGGTGTTTGGGGAATTCTAGGAATAAATACAGAGTCTCCTCATTGAGATTGAGACATTTCAATTTGAGATTTCACTTGACATTGAACACAATCTGAAATGGAGTTTTCAAACACTTGTAAAAATAAAAAGTAATTAAATCAAAGGCACTAAGTAGTATTGATATCAACTTCGAAGAAAATGACTGCCAAAATTACTTTCTACCCGTTCCACACGTCTTTCATGAATTATATTAAGGTATTGTTAAACTAAATTTCAAGTAGATTGAACCAAGGAATCACTTTGTCCCATACAAACTTTGCCCCCTTTTTTCACCCCCTTCATTTCATGACCCCATTTCGGAAAATCTTTTCTTATGAGATGCCTACGTCATAAAAAGAACACACCTTCCAACTTTCAGGTCTCTACGATATCCGTCAGTCATTTAGGACAAAGCATTTTTATTAGTTGTTCAAAACTCTATCGTTCCAGGTATGTCATTGACAGGAGGGCGCTACTATCTTAATGGGTTATTCATTAGTCCACTTGACATTTCAGAATCGTTTGACTTTAGATACCTAAGCGATTTGATATTCGGAGTCTTTTAATGAAATCAAGTTCTGAAATAACTTGAGGTGTTGTACCCGATCAAGCTTTTCATTGCAGGACAGTTAAATAGTTTTATTATTAGTTTCTTCTCTAAGTCTTAATTTGTCAGAGTAGGTAAAGGCTCCATGAGAGCAAAATTTAGCTTTATAATAGTTTTTAATTTTTTTCTTGAAATATTTGACGCCTTGTAATCTCTTGTAATCTCTCGTTAATATAGGTCCACACAAATAAAGAATGTTTGACTTCGACTTTAATAATTATGCTCTTACATAATTATAAATAAACTAGCTTTCCGCCCGCCGCTTCGCCCGCGTGGAATTTTTTGGTTTTTATATAACTTATTACACTCAGATATAATGTGGCTTTCTATTGGTGAAAGATTTTTTAAAATCAGTTCAGTAGATCCCGAGATTACCCCTTACAATTTAACAAATATACAAACACACAAACTTTACCTCTTTATAATATTAGATTATAGATAGGTAATTTGAAACCCTATTTTGTTTTATTCTTTTTTTTATTTTAAATATTTCACGATCCAAACTAATATTTACTGTAAGTAAATGCTAAATAGTAAATATTAGTTTGGATTGTGAAATATCCTACTAATATTATAAAGGCGAAAGTTTGGATGTCTGGATGTCATGATGTCTGGATGTTTGTTACTCTTTCACGCAAAAACTACTGAACGGATTTTGTTGAAACTTTACAGTATTATTGTTTATAACCCAGATTAACATTATGACGATATGTGGCAAATAAATTTCAATAAATAAATAAGACGTGTCTAAAAGCGCCATCTATCGTCATTGGTTAAAATCTACAGCACTGGACAAACTACGGTATGACGTTCGTAAATATTCATTCGGGGGAAACCGTGAAACGCCATCTATCAACATGGGTAAAATGAGGTAAAACATCATATCTAACGGGGGTAAAACGAGGTCCACGCGAATGAAGTCGCGGGCGGCCGCTAGTTTATAATAGGTAGCTTTCCCTCCGCAACCTTATTGGTATTCCATGTATGTGTCTTTTAACTGAGTTCACGTAAAATTTGTCCAATTATAACTCTATTTACATCTGCATTTGTAAGCAAGGATTCATGTTCTTTTCAGCCCAGATGCCGAGTAAACAGAATTGTCTTTCAGTGACGTGCAGCTGCCCCTATATTTGACCCACTGACCTAATTTTTTATTTATTTATTTGTGTCAGTGTGCTCTTCTAAAGAGTGAAGACGATTGTAGTATATTTGTTTTTGTTTTTCTTTCCTGCACTAGAAGTACCGCCAAACAAATTTCTTTTCTGCTCAACCCAAAGGTAAACTGGTCGAGAATGCTTTAGTGCATTAAGTTCGCCTTATGTTCAAATTTATTTTTGGCATAAAAGTTTAAATAAATAAATAAATTGTATGTAGGTACTATNTATTTCTAAACTTTAGTTTAGTAAAAGATTCAGAATCTCAAATCGTTTATTTTAAAAATAAAACCATTATTAGAAAACGAATAGAGGTAACTTTGGGAATTTATTCTATCGAGTCAACTTCATCAAATCGTGTTTCCATCCGTTAATAGCCCTAGAAAATATCCTCAACTATGCCCAAAAAAAATCTTAGCCTTTTATTTTACTGTTTAGTACCTCAAAAATGAAAAATGAAAACCTCATTTTCGCCATTTTCACTGTTACCCGGCCTTAAATAAAAATGAGCCTTATCAGCCGAGCAATAGAGCACAATACTCACTGATGAGTCGTTCCGTCTGGGGCGCGGGCGAGTGCGCGGGGCGCGGCACGCGCGCGGACGGCGGCCGGCGCAGCTCCAGCGGCGGCGTCGGCGCCTCGCAGCCCTCCGCCTCCAAGCTCCTGCGACACGACTACGTGTTAACCACGGACCACAGAAACTAGAGGGAGTGACAAGGGGGCGGGGCCGGTGTCGCAGCGCAGCAATATCAGTAGGCCATAATGCGCGCCCCGATAAGCGGTTATCACGCCATTTTATCGATTTTCCCCATACATTTTGACGTCGATAAAAGTTATCACGGCGCGCGTCTTAGGCCTACAGGCCTGTTCATCTCCGCGAGTTTGCATCGAAAACAAAACACGCGCGATTACCCTTCCTGAGATACCTAATCGACAGGACAATCACGAGCGAGTATTGACGCACGCACGTGTATTCTTCACCCATTTGCATTGTTAAGACAATAAATTATATTTAAAAACGGTAGTGTAATAACTGCCTGAATAATAATAGAAACACAAAATATAATTCATGCTTATTCATGTACATATTTCCTCCGCCATTTTCCGCAGTTTGGCACCCTCACGTCACACATCATTTTACCGAAGTCAGCCCTATGGCTTCGGCGCAGTACCGATCACTGACGTTTGTCAACAAAATGGTGCTCGACTCTCAAGACAAGCTATAGATGACCCACGCTGAACTGTCCCGCCAAACTCAATGACAGGGGGGCGCTACCATCGTTCAACTATATGGTTTCCAACATGGCAAAAATCTGAACCAGCGATCCGGTATTGACGGTGGCGCCCCACTGTCAATGTCATCGACAGGACAGTCCAGTATTTTGGAACTATACTTTAAAAACTAGCAAACAAATTATGTTACCAACACTATAAAAACTGATGATAGTTTCTTTCTTTATTTACCTGGTGTAAGGAGATGCAGTAGCCCTGTTTTCGTGTTGAGTGGCACGGAAATGTTGTTGATACACCTGGTAGTGTTGGTGAGAGAAGTGAGGGTACATCCCGTCGCCCTGTGAATAAAACATCCATTTTAAATCCTAAATACTTACCCCCTTACTAATAAAACTTACACGCTTGTTGAACAGTGTTTTAAGTGACGTTCAGTATGGAAATGTCATTTTAAAACAGTGTTCAACAAGTTTGTAACTTTTTATTAGTAAGGCGGTTGATCTTTTATAGAAAATTCACGTTGTGTGTTAGTGTAATGGACGTTGGTGATACAATGTATGATTTTAACTGATTACTTTGGGATATACCGTCACTGGAGAAGCCTGGTGTGCAGGTGGCGGACTTCTAACTAACTCCGCAGACTGTTTCCGGTTAGCATGAACAGAATTATATCCCGTACAGAATATCAATCGACTGTTTTGTATGAGTTTACTTATAGGCGTTTAATTTTGTGATTAGGTAACAATAATAAGTTATAGCACTCACCAGTCCAATTTGTCCTTGAGGGCTGATGGTCGGAACTGTTGTAAGGGTAACTCGTGAAGCGGCACCTGGGAAAGAATAATTGCATGAGTTTTGCTACAAATTTATAAATTAGTTAGGTAAATACTGAGATGTCCTTTCATTGAACATGTACTCGTAAACAAAATGTGCACGAAAATAACAACGTTTTATCAGCCTCATTTTTAACCGACTTCAAAAAAGGAGGAATTCCCAATTCGACTGTTTTTTTTTATGTATGTTATCGCAAAACTCCGTCAATTATGAACCATTTTTTTTGTTCTATTGGATATACTCCCGAGGTGGTCTCATTGTTACCAAGTCAGGGTCTGATGATGGGATCCTAGGGCAATCGAGGGCAACCTCAAAATGTATAGGTACATTATTGTTTTTCATGCGCCTGGAATAGAAGGTAAAACTCCCTTAAAGCTTAGGAGTTGAAGGATAATTCTTTTAATTTTATAGATACGTCCCAAGTAACATTTTACTCCATTTAAGAGTTCAATAGTCGTTCACATGTACTCCACAAGCTGTGTATGTCAGCTGTATACGAGCTGTATAGCTTGCTATAATGCTTTTATAGAACCAATTTGGGCACAAATTAGACAGCTTTAAGTTCACTATGGCTGTACATTAGCAGTATAATAGCATTATAATAGCAGTTTAAGTAGTAACATCGTACTTAAGGCTGACTTACGGCACTATATGGGACGCAGTGTGAACCATACAACGTACGTGAGGACAATAAAGAGTAACAAGTGGCTAAATGCACAGCTTTCAAAGTTATAAAGTCCGACAAAAGTACTCCAATGCTACCTAAAGTTCACGTGTGTCTTAAATTATTTCCACATTTTAATATTAGTTTGGTATTTGTACGTGAGTGCCAAGAGGGAAACAACTCGGGCGGATAATCATTTATGCAAATAATAACACGGGTTTTAAATACTTAATAATGTTAATGCCATTGGGAATGCAACTTTATCGTGAAATGTATACATATTTACAGCTAAAATATTTACGCGCCTCTGTAAAAACGCGATATTCATTTTAAAATATTTAAAACTGGCTGAGAGGAAATCTACAATTTTCAGTTTTTGATATTGGATTGGCATTATAATTATATTACGGTAATTAATTATAACATGAAACCAAAACTCAATCGCTCTATCTGCGAATTTTGTGATAAATCTGCATTAATTTTGGAGATTTATTTGGTAAATATTTTAGGTTATGTAGAACAAAATGGTGGAAATGAAATACGGCTATGTGAACTGTTATAACTCCAATTTAATGCGGTGAGCGTATATTAGGTTCACATGTGTTCTGTTAGAATGCTGTTATCTATATGAAGTTCCACATTTGTACCACTACAGCGCTAATGTCTATAAATTTATTCTAATGTGAACTTATGTACAGCTTTAAGATGTACCTAGTTCAGGTCAATTGTGTATCTTTAATTCTTTCAAATACTGAAATTTTAGAGATCCGCAATAAAAATTATTAATGTCCGTTAAATCGCCTAGCCCAGGTACTAATAGTCAAGTATGAATACCTAAAGCATCAGACGGTAGTGTTCCCGGTTTAAATTCGTTTATTATGCTTGACAATTTATTCAAAGCGGAATGAGGAATACGATTTTCAATAGCCCATGTTCTTATTTTTTTTTGCGAAAGGTTAAATAATTGTCCAAATCAAAATGGTATTCACTATCACAAGAACTGCAATCATCACACTCTGATATCTGGTATATTTTGAAGGGAAATTTCAGGTTCAGGCATAATATTTTCCTCTGCATCATGTACAGAACCACCATGAACAACTAAAAACAGGCTTGGGGAAATGTGTAATAGAATATCACATTCACATTCGTGTTCAGCTTAAAGCAAATAAGAGTAGTACTTGTGGACAAATAAACTGCTATTGATGTTAATGGACAACACATATAGTCCTTTTAACAGCCTACAGTGTACATGCGAACCATTGAAACACTTTTGTACAGATAGTAAAAAAAGGTTATTTTAATTATCACAAACAAGTCCTACTACAGCTACTAGCTGTATAACAGTCTAAAACAAGTAAACATAACAGCCTTTGGCTTTATAAATGACCACGTGTGTTCTATTAAAATGCTAGCTCTATAACATCGTACAAGTAGGCCGTTAAACAGCGGTTGCCGTATCTCTACCCTCCTATAATGCTCTTAGTCAGATGGCTGACTAAAGGATAGTTGTTAGAGTATTATAACACCAACAATCGTATAAAAGTATAACTCTACACTAGTCTACACTCCTATAAGTCCCTTAGACAGGTATAGGTGTAATTAATTGCAAAAATACAGCTTATACATCACGAGTGAACTGTACTAATGCTTTAAGTACACATTGGAACTAAATGTGAACTCTTAAATGGAGTAAAATGTTACTTGGGGTATAGTTTCTAAAGTTATTAAAGTTATTAAAGCGATGATAGGTAGAACTCCGACAATAGACCGACAGTTGTTTTCTTTCATATTTTTAAGGTGGGCTGACGTTTTCAGGTCTTTTTAGGTTGCCGAGTAACTTGTATTTTGTAGGGAAAAATACAGTCTCAATGTACTGTCAACCTTCAGTGGTAACATCAAGGTAAAAAATTATTCAACTAAAAAGAAAAAAAAAGTAAAAAGAAATGTTATTTTTAACTAAAAAGAAAAAAAAAGTAAAAAGAAATGTTATTTGGTAAGCTTTCGTTTTATTCGCTGACTGTACTAATACAGGTGTCAAGAACGTTGTCATTCCATTTGTTTCCCGTCATACCTGGGAGGGCAGCGTGAGAGCCGATGACGGCGACCTGCTTGACGTGGTGCGGCGCGGGCGCCGCATGCGGGTGCGGCGGGTGGTGCGCGCCGCGCGGCAGGCTGGCGGGCCCGGCGTAGGCGCCGCGGAAGCCGCGCGACCCGCCCGGGCCCACGCCGGGGCCCACGCCCACGTGGCCCAGCCCCGGCACCGGGCCCACTCCCGCTCCCACGCCGGCCAGGCCGATGCCCATCGCTCCTTCGCTCTCTCCGCCTCTGCAAAGATAAACGTATGTCGTTAAGCGTGGAAATGTTACAGTCAAAACTAATATCGGTCAAAACTAGTTTTGACAACAAAAATCAGTCGAGTGCTTTTGACTGATGCCCTTGGTCAATACTTATCACTTTTGACAGATTTTTGCAGTCAAGTGGTTTTGACCGATTATCGTCGCTTGCCTCCGTCTGACGTATCTGACATTTTTTTTTTCGAAACTGAGTTATCTACACCATCTTAATCAATTTCGCAAGACGAATCGATCTGTCTAATCGCCTGAACATTTTGATAAATGTCAGTTACGTCAGTTAGAGAGGCAAGCGACGTTATGATTATGAGCAACGTTAATGATTTAAGTGAATAATCAGTATCTAAATTTTGATCGAAAAGGGATTGTGGTTCAAACAAAACGCTGTTATTACCTCATCAGGACTGGTGTGGCGCGGTGCGAGGAGGGCGGGCGGTGCGGCAGCGCGGGCGACTGCACGCGCGCGTCCGTGGCCTCGGTGGCGCCCACGGGCATCATGTTGCCGGGCACGCTGTCGCCCAGGCGGCGCCCGTACTCGGGCGGCTCGGCGCGGAACTCGGGCTCGGGCGCGGCGGGCGCGGCGGGCGCCGGCTCGCGCAGCGGCGGCGGCGGCTTCTCGGCGCTCTCCGCCGCCGCGAACTGCGCCTGGCCCACGGCGGGCCGCGCCGGCGTCATCACGGTCGCCGTGTCGAACGCGCCGGCGAGCTTCGCGCTTATCTCGGATATCATCTTCTTCGGGGGCTTCATGATCGGCGTCGGGTTCGGGGTCGGCGTCGGAGCCGGGGCCGAGGCCGGGGCCGGGGCGGGGGCCGGCGCCGCCTGCGCGACGACCGGCGGCGGCGGGGCCGCTTTGGGCGCCGGCGGCGGAACCTCCGGCTCGGGCTTGGCGGGAGCGGGGACGATCGATTCGGCCAACTTTGGCGCCTTGGCTTCTCTGCTGGTCTCCAGGTTTCGGTGGAGCCTCTCGTCGCCGCTGTCGACGGAGGCGTCGGACAGGCTGCGGTCGCGGGTGCGCTTGGCGCCGCGCGGCGACTTGCGCGTGTCGGGCGGCCCGGGCTTCGCTCCCTGTCGCGCCGGTTTTCTCTTCCCTCCTTTCGCTTGGGCCGCTGGACTTCTCACGAACTCCTCCATGGTGTCGTCTACGGTGGTCTTTTGAACGTCCTTCTCTTGGAGTCTTCTAGATTTACGAGTGTTCAGCGAAGGCGACGCGAAATCTTCCGGCTTCTCTTCCCTGTTTACCTTGTCTTGTATTTTCGGCTGATCTTTGGGTGTGATGCTCAGAGAAGAAGTCGATGTGGCGCAGTGTCCAGAGAGAGGACTTTTGATGGTCAAAATCAATCTCGGCCGTGCCTCGGTTTTATTAGATGTCGTCTCGTCTCCCGAATCCTCGTGAAAATCGTAGACGTCTCCAGGAATATTGTTGATGCTGTTATTTACAGAGTTCTTAAGTTTCTTGTCCACTTTAGCTCGTCCTCTCCCACGTTTAGCAGTGGAGCCACCCCTTGAGGGTTTAGAAATTTGGCGAGTCTGTATCCTATCTTGATTTTTCTCTGCCCTTTTACCTCTAACATTACGCCCACCCCTCTTATTAGGAGCTGAGGATTTACCTAAATTGCTGATATCTTCGGTGTTACTTGTTTCAACAACAGTTTCGTACTGTACTTCCATTGATTTAGCTTCAACTTCTGGTGGAAAAGTATCTACAGTACTAGTCTCAACTAGATTTAGTGTATGGTTTAGTTCATTACTTACATTGTCATCTCTGCTTTCATTAAATTCGGAATTTTCGTTGCACAAAGAATCAACTTTCTTTATAACAGAATCAATGTTTACATCTTTAGCACTCCACGAGTCATTTTCATCCAGACCCCTCAATTGACTATCACAACTGTCATTACTCTTAGACATACTAATCGTGAAAAATTGGTCGGATTTTACCGGATTTCCAAAATCAGACGATCTTCCGGGTTCGTTAATAATTGTATTTGAAATTGCAGCCAAAGGAATCTCATTATTTGAAATGTTGTTAATACCAGAATCTTTGTTAGTGTTATTTTCTATATTATTTGCTGTTGAATCGTTATTTGATGATGTATCTTTGTTTTCTTTACCAAGTTGAATGTTTTGAACTTTATTTGACTCTTCATTTTGATGATTTCGGGGAGATTTTGGAATTGATAGAGATAGACTATTTTGGCTTGACGAAGCCGCATTTTGATTTACTAATATGTTCGTAATCTGATTTTTAAAAACTGATTCCACGACCGACTGTTCAATTGAAGGTTGGGTTTTCTTCACAGAATCTTCTTTTCTCGAAATATCAGTACTCTGCTTTCTTTCACGAGGCTGTGTAGTTACAAGTGTGATAGTTTTTCCAACATTCACTTCCAATTTCTTTTCAGGGTCATTTGTCACTTTAATTTCATTGGTTGTATCTCTCAACAATTCTTCAAAATCCGTTTCACACTTAGCTATTGTTTCTATTGGGGAGTGAGAAGGTTGACGATTTGCCGATGATGTTGATGATGCTACTCTTCCCGGGTCGTTTTGTTCCTCGTGTCTAGCTTCACTCTCTCGGGGCACGTGATTGGATGTGGTTGGAACATTTACGAATTTGTCATCAGTTAACGAATTCATTCGTTCTGTTTCATTTTTAGGATTCAATTTGATCGTCCCGGGTGTTTTGGTGGTTTTTAATATAAGTGGGGTCATAACCACATTAGTGATACAAGTTGTGGTAGCAGCTATGGATTTTGAAGAATCTAATTTCGTCAATACCGTCGGCGGTCTAATAGTTGCCATCGAAAGTACTGACGGAGGGCCTTTGCTGGTGTCCAAATGGATTGTTATAGGTGCTGTAGTGAGTAATCTCTGAGAACTTAAGGAATGAATTACGTTAGAACCATGGGTCCTGCTAATAGTACTAGCTTCTTGAATAGCACACATCACCGGTTTGTTTACACTTTGAATTATTGATGCTGAAGAATTATTCACACCAGCCACATGTATTGTTCCAAATGGTACATGACTTAGTTGCTCTGATTTTTGCACATTACTTTCTCGCTTCTCGTTCAAATGATTTATGTTATTGATTAAAACTTTATTTCCCAAATGTATCGGCGAGTTCTTGTTTCCCACGTGTACAGCGGCATGCTGCAACGGCATGGTTATCAAGCGATTTTGTGCCAGAACTGTAGGGTTTGCATTCTGAGGTAAACTAGTTGGAGACAATATTATTTTAGAACCTTCATTCATATTTTCGCCAATATTTCTCTGGTCACTTTTCCGTTTTTCTTCAGCTATCAGCTTTTGCTGGTGGATAAGTGAACTGGTGCTAACAGTGATCATTTTATTCTGTTGAACTACATTATTTACAGTAATTTGTTTGGTTATCGGAGCCAAAACAGGAGTAACAGGTAGTCGGTTAAAATGTAATGGTGCTCCTTGCGTTTGTACTAAAACGGAACTAGGTCTGTTAGGAGACAACATTGTCCTAGCTCCATGAGGCAAATGCATGGCTTGAATTGGGCTTAAAGGTGGTTGTTGCATCCTCACAACGGTAACTTGGCCGGGCGATCGTTGTTGTAATGCATTAGGTGAAGCTATTCCAACAGAGTTTATATTTTGTGGAGATGTACTCAGTATCATGTTAGACAAAAGGGGCGATGTCATTCCTTCCCCTTGTGCCGTTCCTTTAGGACTCTGCATTCTGGCGTCATTAGACATTCTAGGTGATATAACGATCCCTGAAGGCTTCTGATACACCACGTGCTGTTCTGGGATCTTTATTGTTGGTGGTTGCATATTAGATGTTTGAGGTCGAATGACTTGATTTATCACTTGATATGATGGTGCACTAACTCTAGCGGGAGTAATAATTGGCCTTATCGAGTTGTTAACTGGCATATTCTGAGTGTGGGGTGCCCTTATTTGTACAATATTTGCAGTAATATGTGTGGGTTTGCCATCATTTTTGTCTCTACTTGCTCGAGGACTTGTCTGAATATTTATGACCTGAGGTTCAATTAACTTATTATTGGCTAAGGTCCAAGAAGTTATGACAGGTGTCGCTGTAGAAGTCTTTTGTTGAGGACCATCGCGTTTAGCAAGTTGAATCTTAATACCTGGTTCGCTTACTTTTACATTATGTTCATTAAATTTAACTGGTTCACTTGTTCTGACATGCTCACTTGTTTTAACCACTTCACTTGTTCTGGCATTTTCACTTGTTTTAACCTGTTCTCTTACATTAGGATGTTCATTTACTTTAACATGCTCGCTAGTTTTAACCTGTTCATTTCTTTTTACATGTTCGTTTATTTTGCCATGTTCACTTGATCTTCCACGTTCATTTATTCTACTGTATTCACTTGTTCTAACACGCTCGTTAATTTTACCATAGTCGCTTGTTCTTACAAGTTCATTTATTTTACCATGGTCACTCGCTTTTACTTGATCGGTTGTTATGGCAGATTCGTTTGTTTTTATGCTAATTCCACTCGATTCAGGAGTAACAACTTCCATAGCTGTGGGTTTTGCTTTAGATATTAATATGTTAGACAACACTATCGGTTTGGTTGAATCTGAACTTACGCTTACAATAGGCTTGCTGGTGGTGATGATATTCACGGGCAATCTTTCCGCAACTTCAGTCACAGCAGCAGAAGTAACAGCAACTGTAGAAGCTACAGTAGCAGTAGAAGCAACAGCCGCAGTAGAAGCAACAGCCGCAGTAGAAGCAACAGCCGCAGTAGAAGTAGTTGTTGTACTTGTTGCAGTCGTAGTAGTAGTATTGTCTTCGTGCTCTTCAGTATCGGTATCAATAAGCAAAACATTCTCAGGTGTATCGGGTTTCATTTCCATTGCACTTGCGTTAAGATTTTGGACTGCTTGTCTCATTTCTTCTGCGTCTTCTTCCGGAATATTTTCGGTCTCTATAGAAGCTCTTTCAATTTCGGTTTGACTGGTAACGTCACTTTCTACATTTTCATAGCAATCCGAAAATGAATTTACTTTTCCGCCAAAGCTTTCACCTAACAAGGCAGCTACTGCATCTTCTGTCTCTTCTTGTGAAATGATAGCTCTAGGTTTCTCTTCTACTTTTTTATCCATCTTGCAAGGAATCTCGATCTTTTCTACCGGCTTCTCAGTTTCTATTGGTAAATTAGAGATGCTGCGAACGGCGCTTTCACTATTGTCAATATCTTCTACTTCGTCGAAAGCATCCATGAAAACTTCTGTTTCGAATTGGGATTCTAAGGGTGGGTCTTCTGGTAAAGGCACTTCACTGATGTCAATGCTTTCAATAGGCGGTGGCATCGGAATGTCATCAACTTCAATTTGTTTTGTTTCAGGATAATCAATTTCCATACTAATATCCATAGAGGAGTTGGTTGGGGACTCATTGCCACTTATTTTCGTTTCCGACTCGCTGCTCTGAATTAATACCGGGGGGCTGTCTGTTAGTCGAGGCAAGCTAGGAGATTGGGAAAGTGACTTATTGTCGTCAGATTTGTCGGACAATGTAGATGTTGGTATATCACTAGGTAAAGGAATGTCTAACAACATATCCTTAGTAGATATTTCAAGCTCTGATTGTTCAATTGATATGTCAGAGTTCTCCATTTTATCATGATGGAAAAAATTATGATGCTCTTTGCGATTTTGACGGTCCTCTCTACTTCTCTTTTTCTTTTTCTTCTTTTCCCTGCACTCTTTTTTCATCTTGTCGCAATGTCTATCATTCGTTTTATCAGTTGTGCCATCGCCAGAGTGCTTCAATTCATTATCTTCGTTCATATTTTTCTTAGAATAATCTGATATTGTGTCTAGGCCTGAACGGTTATCATCGTCGGTGATTGACTCGGCAAATAATCGTGCTTCTATTGCTTTACTCACGGCATCTACATCTAAGCTATTATCATCTTCCTTGGAAAAAAGCCGCTTTTCTTTCCGCTTCTTGTCTTTTTTGCGTTTATTATCGTCTTTATCTTTGGATTTTCCATCATCGGTAGTATTGTTTTGATCATTAACAGAACTGAATGTCGATTCATATGTATGGGAAGGAAATTCTATCTTATTATTTGCTCTAGATTCTCTGTCAGATTCATCTGAAAGTGGCCCAAATATATCTTCCATTTTACCATCCTTCTTCGAAACATTTTCTGAAACAGCATCAAAACTACAGTTCGTTAATTTCTTGTCTCTTTTAAGCTTGTTTCTTTCATCGCGCGTTTCATCCGTATCTACACTTTCGCGAATTTTGTCCTTCCGTTTTTCTTTTTTGGTACTGTGACGACGAACTTTTTCTGATATCTTATGTTTTACGTCATTGTCATGACTCGCAGCATCATTATCACACTTGTTTTCAACATCAGATAGTATAGATTTGTGTCTCTTCTGCTTTTTCCTATGTTTCTTGCGAACTTCTCCAATATTTCTACTACACATTGCTGAATCACTTTCAGAGGAAAAGTCGTTAGGAATAGCTTTTGTGAAACTAGGTTTGTATTCATTGTCAGTTTCTAAGCTAGATTTTAGTTTACTGTCATCGCTGTCACTTTTTCCGAATAGATTCAATAAAGAGTTCTTTTTAACTTTATCTTCACTAGACTCTTTTGACGACGCATTGCCGAGATCTTTAGTCCTGTGCAATGATTCAGAATCAGATGTATCTTTTTTGAGATCAATGATGAAATTTGGACTCTTGCTCACACTTCGCTTCGACATTTCATCATCAGACGTATCAGACATAATACGGGTTCTTGAGTTTTTGCGTGATAATTTGTTACACGAGTCTTCTTCATTACTTGGCATGTTAAAATAGTCATTGGCTTTAGTACGATCAAAATCAAGGCTAGAAGATGCATGTACCTTTTCACGTTTTTTGTTATGAATCATCATGTTATCGTCATCGGTAGAACTATCCATTGAAGATTTATGTGGCTTCTTTCTTTCATTTTCAGAATCACTATCTTCATCCCAACTGGATCGTTTCTTTTCTTCACGTTTAGCTCTACTTTGCTTTAGCTGACTAAACTTAGCTTTTATTTTCTCTTGACGCTTTTCTTCTTCCTGTTTCTGCATGTTTTTACATGATCGAGCCTTAACTTTATCGTACATTGATATATAAGTAGGTCCATCATCTATTATGTCAAAAATAGAGTGCTTTTTGGGTTCGTCAGAGTCCGAGCTATCAGTGCTCGGTGCAGTTTTCCGACTTTTACGTTTGCTGCTGTCACTTTTCTCATCTCGACTTTTTCGATCAGTGGATAAACGTTTGTCTCGCGCTACCTCCTTTTTCTTTTCGTCAGTCTTTTGTTTCTTATCTTTATTGATTAATTCAGCTTGTTGTAAGGCATCTTGTTGCATTTGAAGTTCTTGAATTTGTTGCAACTGCTGAATTCGTTTCTTTTCTTTCATTTCTTTTCTAAGAGCCTTTTGCTTTTCATCTTCTTCACTCGACCTAAGTTCTAATGTAGCGAGGAAATCAATATCTTTATGTAAACCATCGTTTTGTGATTCTGGGTTAAATTTGTCATCTTGTTCTATCGTAGGACTCCTTTTCAAATGTTTATGTTTTTCAAAACTTAATTTTTCGTCTTTATGTTCGTTATTTTTCACTTCAAACGCATCATCTGGAGGTTTCACTTGATTTTTTCTATCGTCTTTAGTTTTACTTTCGATTAATTTTGCGAAATGGCCCTTGTTAAATTTGGTAGTTTTATGTCGGTCGGTACTCCTGGAATCTTTTGAATCCCTACGTTCGAGGCCAGATTTAGGTTCACTATTTTTAGATTTTTTCAAATCTTCTGTCATGTAGTCAAGACTATCTTGCGACGACATTCTTCTCTTATGGCCGATGTTCGAAGGCAAACTTGAACATGAATTTAGTCGTTCTTTACGTTTTGAATCAACACTGGGAGAGTCAAGAGAATAATGTCTTTGTTTCTCTGTGATATCTCCCTTGATTTTTATGGAATGTTCCGATGTATTGTCGTTTTTGCTTTTGTGTTGATCTAAAAGGTCTTTCCTCTCTTTTTCTACTTTAATTTTTACAATAGGCTCGAATTTTAGAATGTCCAAGCATTTTGACGTGGATTCCTTTTCAAATTCTGACTTACAATTCACTTCATTAAGTTGTTTCTTTAACTTTGATTCTTCTTTTACTTCATTAACATCTAAATCCTTTAATTTGGACGAATCATGAGAAGCTCTGGATGTTGAGGAATCTGTGGAATCTTTTCTGTAAATGTCTCTTGACGTTTCATCTCTGGAAGACTTTCTTGATTTTAAATGATCGGATTCCTTTTTACTATCTCGTTTTGACTCGCTGCTGTCTTTTCGAGACTTGTCGTGTTTAGATCTGTCATCCTTCTTACCTTTCGTATCACTGTCAACAGAGTCCTTTCGTTTATCTTTATCTATTTTTTCTTTTCTATGGTGATCATGTCGAGAAGATTTTTCTTCAGAATGTTTTGATTTTTCAGAATCTCGATCACTTCTATCTTTATATGACTTTTCACTGTCTCTGTTCTTATCACTTTTGTCACTGTGTGGCTTTTCAGCGTTCTCATCTTTAGTCCTTTTATCTTTTTCACTTTTGTCGGCACTTTTCTCACGTTTATAAGACTTCGCCTTGTCCTTTTCATTATCTACCTTTTCTTTTTCATGTCGGTCTTTACAGTGTCGTAATATTTCACTCCTTATCCGGTCTTCTATCAATTTTTCACTGTCTAACATCTTCTTCTCTCCAAAAAAATGTGAGTTGCTGCTGAATTTATCCTTTTCAAAGCATTTTTCAAACTCAATATTTTCTTTTTCTAGTTTGGTCATATGTAGAACCTCTAGCATCATATTCTGACTGTATCTCTCTTTACCATTCTTTTCACTACTTTTTAATAATTCTTGGTTTAGTTCAGGGACATCTTTATTTATTTTAACTAAGTTATGGGTATTCAAATGATTATGTGGTGTTTCTACTTCTAGAAACTCTCTTTCTTTTTTGACGTGATTACTGAATACTTCTTTGCTTTTTTCACATTCATTTTTAATTTTCGGGATAAATTCTTCCAATTTCAAAGTTCCCGTTTCATTTTCTAGATTCGATTTAATTTCTTCATGAATATGAGCGGGTAAATCAGATTTGTTGTATTCTTCGATGGATTTGGACCTCTTCTCAACAAGGGGTTCCGTTTTCACAACGTCCTGGTAGCTTCCGATTCGTTTAAGAAGCGTTTCCGGGAACTCTCGAGGTTTATCTTCATTCTGACCGACCAGCGGCGTATCTGGCTGTTTATCGTCCACGTTATGTTTAAAATTTTCTTTCCTTTCCACCGGCGGTCCTCCGATATTTTCTTGGGTTCTTCCTATAGAATGCCGTCGCTCCGATATCAGAGGAAGGTTTTCTTCTTTACTTCGAAGTTCAATTTCAGCACCATCGGGGCGTGGGGCGTGATCCATCTCCGCACTGACATCGGACAAACTCCTGTTCGTCCCGAAGAGTGAATTTCTTCTCCGCCCCTCGGCGGTAGTCTTCTCCGAATCCAGCTCCGCATCCGCTCGAGGGGATCGGCGGTCGTTGGAATCGAGCTGCGATCTATCCGTGGAGGGCGTTCTCGGGCGGACTCTCGATTCGAACCTGTCGATCTCTGCGAATTTAGGGCGGTCGCCGGCGACGCGGCCCAGGCGGGGGTCGACCGGGCGCTCGGGGTCGTCGGCGTCCGGCGGCGGCGGCGGCGGGTGGCCGGGGAAGGGGTAGCGCAGCACGCGCGGCGTCAGCGGCGGCGCCCGGGCGCGCGGGCTGCCCGCCGGGCTGGGCGCGCGCACGGCGCCCTCGAGCCGCTCCGAGTCCTCGTCGAACACCGACCGCTTCGCCAGCAGCGAGCGGACCACCTCCGACGGCTTCACCTCGTTGATGTCCACCTCGAGCAGGCGGTGGCGCAGGCGCGAGCGGTCGGGCGCGTCGGCGACGGCGCGCGAGCCGCTCCACTTCTCGTACTTCTCGTCGAGGCTGCGGATGCGCTCCTCGAGCGACGGCGAGTGCGGCGCGGAGCCGGCGCTGGAGGAGGAGGCGGAGGGCGGGCGCGGCGGCGAGGCGGGCGCGGGCGCTCGCGCGGCGGCCGGCGCGGCTCGCAGGGCGGCGCGTCGGGCTCGTCGCGCAGCGGGGTGCCGGCGCGCGAGCCGGAGCCGTCGCGGCGGCGGCGGTGGCGGCGGCGCACGTGGCGCTCCCCGCGCGAGCCGGAGCGCGAGCGCCGCACCGCCCCCGCGCAGCTGACGCTGACGACGCTGCCCCCTGCGCTTCGATGTCGCTCCTGAAAACGGAAAATGAGACGAGCCGTTTAGCGAGAACGACTTTGCTCGGATCCGAGGCCTCCGATCTTCATGCGTAAAAGTGGAGAAACGAAGAGATTGTCATGCTAATTTGTATAACCTACGACTGCTGAGTCGTGCATTATACATTGAAAAAAAACGAACATACCTTTGAATGTTTTCGGTCTTCAGGACTGGAATCCCTTCTATGTCGTCGTGCCCGGTGCGGGGAAACAACAACGGACTGCAACCGATCGTCAAATGGAGTGTCATCCGCTTGTGGACTGGAACCTAGTTCTTCGTATACCCTAGCGAAATAAAACACAAAATAAATGGGTAAGTGCTTTTAAAAAAATACAATAATGTGCTTTAATAATATTGGAGATACAAAATCATCAACAACATAATCAATCTGACCTTCGCTAGAAGTTTTACAATATCATCTTGCTCTGTGACCCGACCGTGAGCTCGGTCACTACTGTTCGTTAGGGCAGACTCATTACATCAAGTGTAATACCAGGCCTCCGTCACTCGCCTATGCCGGCCGAGATAATTACCTACAGCGCGCGACAACTTCAAGTTGCAAATCAGTTAGGGCCGCCACGCGCCTGTGAACACACGCGTATTTCTATACACGCTCGGTCGATCATCGTCGCAATCAAGATTTATTGTTCCAACAGCACTGTTATTCTTCTTTAATGGAAAATCGTAATATATTGGAATAATGTTAATAGTAGTAATTTAAATAATTAAAACATCTACACTTTTTAAACAATTTTGAAACACTTATGACAAAAAACTGTAGCAAGAAAATTATTTTAGCTAGTAAAAACATTAACTTTACTTCACCGTCACTATTTTCCGACACTACACCTTTTAAAACTGTTGGTCCAATTTCGAATTATCGCAACACTGAAGTTTATTAATTAGGACTTTAGAGATGGTACGATTATACAAACACCACTAGATTAAAGTTTACCAATCGTAAATACAATAAATGCTTATTAAAATTAAGTTTTATTTATTTTACTTTGTTTATACAACCCTGACGCATGAGCTGTGAGGTAGATCAATTCTGAACACAAAAAAATTGCGCTCTTGGGAGCGTAGAAGTAAGGTGCGATTTCGAATGCACCATGTGCGTTGGATATTTTGCATTATTATTATTACCGTTAAAATGTCGGCATCTGATCCTACACAAAGGAGTGCAATTTCTGTTGCTACTATTATGTATTCTGTGGTAATACTTACTACTACTTTACAAGCCAGTACCCGCTCTCGCTTCGTGAAATAAACGAACTAAACAATAATAGTCCGACAACCTCGGGAGCGACCGTCCTGCGGTGGATATTTAAGTTGTGGGCAAGTACTTTTTTGTTAATTATTCAGCTTTCAGAAAAGTATCAATTCACTGTTTAGAGTGGAGTAGTTTATTCACAACTTAGTAATCATCCAGTTTTGACCCCTGGTTCACTGGACTTAATTTGTTGCTAGTGACCTCTAGTATAATCCGTTTCAAGGAATGGGTCAATGGGTCGAGTTTCCCTGTTACCCTGTATAAGGTTGTGACGCAGTGTGAAATAGCAAAGGATATTATTCGTGCAGTGCATACCTGTAGCGGCGCTCGGGCGTGTAGTCGGGCGCCTCGTAGTGCTCGAGCGCGGGGTAGCGCGGCGTGCGGGACGCGCTGCGCCCGTAGCTGGCGGCGCGCGCGCGGCCCGTGCTGTTCTCGTACCTGCAACAAATTAACATTACGTTAAGGCTTCGCCAGATAAAACGCGTACAGTCATCGTCAAATAGATCGTATAGCGCTCTGTTTGACGATATTTTACCATGGTAGTACAACACATCTTAAGGTTCGGCCAAACCAACGCGATCAGCCGGCGTGCAGCGATGGCGACCAATCTTCAATGCATTGATCGCCATCGCTGCACGCCGGTTGATCGCGTGTGATCGCATAGGTTTGGCCGAACCTTTAGTGTCATAGCGCGGTGTCAAGTTAGCGCTCTGACGCGCGCTAATCACGCGTTCGGTTTGACGAAGTCTTTAACCTAAATATGAACCAATCTACGTGTTTTGTTTATGTTATTTATTTTAGTCGTACGCCGGAACATAACTATTAACAACGGAGTACATAATTATTTATAGGTACAGTCACGGAATGAAAAGGTTCGTCAGTTTTCAAATTGATTCCTTCAACGAAACGCGAGCACATATTACCTTTTGAAACTATGTTACAGAATAATCTCGAGTTAGAGAAAATAATCTTTAACTGTTCGTCAGTAAAGTTCAAAATCATTCAGATCAAAGTTGTTTGACGATTTATCTTGTCAAGAAGATTATTATGATTGATAAACTAAAACCTTCTTATTGGTTCAACCTGCCATTATTATTTCTCTTAAATAAAAAAACCCATTGTCAATTGGTCAATGTCATCATTGCATTGCACTGATGGGATAGAAAAATAAACGAGCAAAACCTTATTCGTTAGCAAACGTCATATTTATTTAAATGTTAGCAGCACTGTTTCTTGCACTGTTATGTTGGCAGGTTTGACTCTTACAGTACCTAGTGCAAGCAAAAACCGACACTAAGGTGACGAACCTTTTCATTCCGCGACTGTACAATAAAAAAAATTGGGAACTGACCTCAGAGCGTCGTGGCGCGCAGTGGACAGGTAGCGCGAGGTGGAGACCTCGCCGGTGAGGCGGTCCAGCCCGCTGAGCGCCGCCGTGCCGCCGTGCTTCTCCAGCTGCTCGTAGAACGCCTCCTGCGGGACAATGCCGGTCAGCGAGCCACGCCACGCGCCCGAGGGCTCGTCCGCGTCGCTCAACACAACATTAACGACTGAAATATCACCGTGAATCGTTACTGTGACGCATATTTTAAAGTGAATCGCAATCTCTAGTCATTGTTCCATATTTCCGCACATCAATTAAAGACAATTACAGCATCATGCAACACAGTATAGCTCATTCCTATCGCTACTTCAAGACACTAATATTGAACAAAAATCATCACATTTATATCATTAAATTCGTAAACAAACAAATATTTGTAGTGATTCAATGTGCAACATTCACAAGTATACATTGTGACGAGGAACTGTGGAACAAATCCGGCGCTACCGAGGTGGCGCCCGGCGTCACGGTGATCATTCCATCGTAACATTCGACAGATAATAAACAGAGAAACATGGGAATCAGCTCAGCTACCGAACATTCAAAGACATAAATAAAATAAAAAGTGAGTGCTCACGAAAATAATAAATCCGTACGCGAAGTCACGGGCTACGGCTACGGGCTACGGGCGGAGGGCTACGGGCTGAGGGGGCGTACCTGGCACTCGCGGGAGGCATAGTCGACGCACAGCCGCGGGTGGTCGGGCTCCGCGGGCGCGGCGGCGGCGGCGGCGGCGCAGGCGGAGGCGGCCACGCGCCGCAGCTCCCGCACCGCGGCGCCCGCGGCCGCCGCCTGCTCGAAGTGCACCAGCGCCGCGCCCGCCGCGCGGTCCACGCACACCGACGTCGCCGCGCCGCACCGCGAGATGGCGCCCAGCACCTGCGACCATACCCGGCACCCGTCACCCACGCTCTGCATCGCGAGACAGGCCGTGGCCGCAACTCACTGGGCGCGGCGCGTCGCAACTCTCCTGAACGACTGTCGCGTCGAACGAGTGAGACAGTTATTGAGGGGAAGTGCGACGTGGCCGAGGCGGGGACTCACCTGCTTCTCCGTGTGCTCCGTGAGGCCGTCGACCCACACGCACGTGGTGGCCACGGGCTTGCCGAAGCCGAGCTTGACGCGCGAGCCGCCGACGTACTCGCCGTCCATGGCGCGGATGGCCTCGACGACGCTGGATATCGAGGCGTACTGGCAGAACGCGTAACCCGCCCCGCCTCCGCTGCCCTTCTTGATGTCGATCTCGATTATACGCCCGAAATGTTTAAATTTTTCTCTCAACTGCTGCTGCGTTACATCCTTTTCTAAGTTACCGATAAATAATGTCCTAGTTGCCTGGAACAAAAAGAAATATCGTCAAAACACCCGTACCCTACAGCTACATAACTAAATAATGAACTTTGTAATGATGGCTTCCAATAAATTGCTGAAGTCCTTTTTATAGTAACCATACTCTTGACGAGGTGGGTGTGGGTGAAGGAGGATGAGGCCGGAAAGTCCATAGTGCCACTATGCAATGGCTAATAGTTTCAGTTCATTCGGTTTGATTTAATGACATTTAAATTTGATTTGATAGAATTGTGCCGTAAACGGCATAAGCTCTGTTAACAGTTTCATAGTTCCGAATGTAAGCTGCAAGCAGGCATACGCCAAGCATAAATGACGAATACGCATCTACAGATACGCCTCCGTGGTTAGTAAGCCTTAAATGCAGATGACACAGCGCAAAGTAAAACAATATAGGCATTAACAACCTCGTGCTCAGTAGCAACGCAATATTCGCAACTTTACACGTTGACAAAAAACGCGAGTGCATAAATGATTTGATGCTAATCGTTATTCAATAGCAGTCATTAATTCAATATAAATAGCACTATTATTGCTAATGGAGTTAGCAATGCAAATAATAATTATAATTTTGGTTAGTACACGATCGATAGATTTCGGGAATGATAAATAATTATTAGGTAAATCTTATTCCATAGATTAGTATAATTTCTACGCAATAAATGTTATTTCCTTGGTAAGTACTTTCATAATACTCACATCAGGTAAACATTTGATTATTGCTTAATGCTAAATAATAATAATATAACCAATTTACTCTCCCTTGAAAAAAGTTACACTCACTTTCGGATGGTACTCGTCGATATCAGTCTCGTAAGGTTTCGCCGAATCGGCATCTTCATCGCAACTTTGGTGAGGTGCTACTGAGATCTTGCATCCAAAAAAAAGCTTGTCTTGTGACACCTCGAGCGCTTTCTCTACGTCGGACGGCTTCTTGAAGCGCACCACCGCGTACCGGTCGGCGTTCTGACCGACCACCTTCACCCACACCACCTTCCCGTGCTTCTTATACTCGTGGTAAAGACCATCTTTAAGGGAACTATCAGTCGATCGCGTGGGTAGGTTTCTCACGCAAATGGCTAATGGTCTCCCACTCGCCGTCGACGACCACTGAAAAAGAGGATTATCTTAAATAACAACATTATACAACGCGTGAGGTTTTAAATCGACCAATAGTGAATCGTCACCTGGTGATGGGAGGGCGTGGAAGGGGTGCGATGGTTCGCGTGGGCGAGCGGCGGCGGCGGCGCGTGCGGCGTGGAGGCGCGCGAGGTGTCGCTGGGCTCGGGCGACGACGACTCCGAGCGCGAGGAGCCCGAGCCCGAGAGCCGCCGCCGCCGCCCCCCCTCGGTGCCGCCGCCCGGCGTGCTCGGCGTGCTCTCGCCGCCCGTGGCGCCCCCGCCGCCGCCACCGCTGCCCGCGCCGCCGCCGCCTCCTCGCTCGCCGCTGGCGTACCACCGGTGAAGGGGGGTAGTTCTGAAAAATAATCACAATTAGCAATCTATCAATAAATTAAACGTGACGTGAGTCGTTAGGCGGTCAGGCAAAGACTGAGGTAATGTTTCTCAATTTAGAACCGCTGCCACACTGTTAATGCAATCTGCAGTTCGAAAGAATACTTTTTATAAGTCCGAGGTGTGCGATAGGCAGTGTTTACGAACGTAACCGTAGGTGACGGACGAGCTGTAATGCAAGCAGGCTGCTTACCCGACTAGAACTAATACTTTAGGCGCCATCAATAGAGCTGCAGCTGCTGCTGCTCTTGGATTTGATGGTTGCTCAGAATAATACCACCACCACCCCTGGTGGCCTCAGGAGGCCAGATACTACGGAACGTGATTTGACATGTTGTGGAAACGTTCCGAGGCATCATAGAAAATCATCATAAGAGTGGTCGTGTAATGTTGGCTTATTCTACCAAGCAACATACTACTGTAATAACATTATTATTATGGGTACATTGCGCGACCTTTGCAGTCGACTCCAGCAGCTGCATGTACTGGACCGCAGCTGCATTATTCGCTTGAATGCATTTCTACATTGCACATATTCTTTCCACTTGCCGTTGCTATTGCAGGTGAGATTTTAACATTTCGCAAAAAAGTTTCACCTAACGCACAATGTAATGATTGATTACTTGGCCATCACTTTGAACTAGATTAGAAACATTTATGAGAAACATATTGTTAATATCTGAACGAGGCTTTTTCAATAAATTATCATTTGAAATCACAGTTCTAGATTTATACGGGACGGGCCACGGGCGAGCACGTGTAGAGAGGATACTCCTCCCACCAATCAAGAACTCGTCGACCCCATCGGTCACAGGTTAAAGTGAAAAATCACTTTGTATGGCAGTTCTCAATTTGGTTCGGTCTTCACAGGCTTGTATGTCTTTGTACCTCATTGTACGAGACATCGCAATAAAATTATAAATCACCACTGTAGGTACGTGCAATATTCGGAAAATGTCGTGTTTTCCTTTTATATAGGTCTACATAATAGGTATTTTAAACTATTATGTTGCATTTTTACTATAAAATTATCACTTTCACGGGATTTTTCAACAAAAACTTTTTGTACGGTCTGGTTTTTTTTTTTGATAGCATGTTACGCGCTCGACCATTGCATTGTTAGGGCTATATTTCACCGGGACATCATGGGCGGCGCAACCAGTCGCCGCCGCTACCAACAAAATGTATACAGCACTTTGCGCAACCAAGCGGACACCAGGTGAGTAACTCTACAGAGCTGTATACATTTTGTTGGTAGCCAGCGACTGGTTGCGCCGCCATGGTGTCCCGGTGAAATATAGCCCTTAAGAGTTCAATTAATTTCTGCAACTATCACTCGAATCATAAAAATAACACACATGCCTCTCTTCTGTACAATAACAACTGGCCTTGGCCTTGTCCATCAATAAAAGTGCGGCTCGGATAAAATAGGAATGAGATCATTTTTAGAACTAGCCCCCGTGTAAACCATAATAATTAATAAACATAACACCTGCTAGGTCCTGCTGATGTACTTATAAGTTTATAAGTTGTATAATTAATGTGTATTGTTATACCTTTCGACGTTGGAAGGAGGCGTGGAATAAGGTGCGTTGGAGTTGTTCCTCTGGTAGCGACCGTAGGCAGCGGGCGTGTTCCCCCGTCGGCAGTACTCGGAGGCGCTATCGTTGGTTCCCCGCCAGTTAGCCGGCGCAGCCGCAGTCGCAGCTATCGGGCATGCGCTACCTGTGCTCTCTTCGCCACCACTGCAATAGAAGGAAAAAATCCTTTAATATAAAACAATCAATAGAAACTATCCTTAAAATTCTAGACTAGCGGCCGCCCGCGACTTCGTACGCGTGGACCCCGTTTTTGCAAAATCCCGTCTAAGTGAGCACCTACGTTCTAAAAGGAACCCCCATGCAAAATTTGGGACTCCTAGGACTTGTAGTTTCTGAGATTTCGTGATGAGTGAGTGAGTCAATCAGTCAGTGACCTTTCGCTTTGATAAATATAGATTTCTAGAATATTGTACGAAATTGCACAAATTAATAATAGTCCCATAACCCCTCGAGCTGAACTAACAAAATATGCTTGTGTTACGATTGGATTCTAACTATCTACCTTCGGCAAGATAGGAATCGGCAGTCCAACACCTACACCATAGAGCCTTGCCTCACTTATTCGTGTACACATGATGTTGACGTTGCTAACGAACTTATACTTTATGATATAATTAACTTTTTAAAAAAATAAAACCGACTTCAAATGCGAAAACACAAAAAAAAACTAAAAATTAAAAATATTGCGTATAAAAAAGTTCATCCCCAATTTTCCACCCTTGGGGGTGAAATATTTTCTTCAAATTCGCATGAAACCACCCTTTTGATAATACCTATTCAACAAAAAAATAATCGTTCAAATTGATTTATAATCGGCGGAGATATTGCGTATAAAAAAGTTCATCCCCAATTTTCCACCCTTGGGGGTTGTTTTTTCTATTATTAAATTTAAATGGGACCACCCTTGAGGTATTACCTATACGCCGAAAAAAGATNAAAAAAAAAAAAAAAAAAACATACGGGTCGAATTGAGAACCTCCTCCTTTTTTGAAGTCGGTTGAAAATAATAAGTCAGTTCCTAAATTCAACCAAAATCGCCGCGAAGGAGCAAAATTAAAATAAAGCAATAAATTTTGATCTTGAGTAGATCAGTTGCTACAATATACCCACCTGATAGTAGAATCAGATAAGTACTAGTAGTGTTAAGAAGTGGGCGATTTACTAGTTGTTTTCGCCTTTTAAAAGCATCCGGAAGCCAGTAATCTTACACATCGCTAAAACATAGCAAGCTTGGTGTTGTGCCAAAGAACCATTAACGGAATTTCTATGACAACCAGATTTTTTGGCTCATGCCGACACAATGATATTATTATGTTTCGATTGAGAAGGTTATACGTATGGTTGTAAGTCAAACATCGAGCACCTCCAACTTAGTACAAATCGGTCATACTGATATCAATATGAAGAAATCAGGTTGCTAGCTCCATAATAATTAACACCACGAGTCACGTACCAGCGATACATACTTTCAGACGTTTATGGAATAATAAAGAACAAGAGAACTGAAAATATGAGCTCTATTTTGTGGAAAACTCCCTATTTCTCAGTAATCTTATCACATGGAACAGTATGTTTGACACAGCCATATCGCTTTTATGTCCTCTTGGTATAATTAAGATACATAAAAATCATTGTTTTTAACAATTATCATAATCTAATCACCACTGAACTGATAAATCGTAGGAGAATTGATATTGCTAACTGATAGTCGAAGAGCACAACTTTTTCATTAATTTTGATTGATTTTGAGACGAAAAACAACGATTTAACAGTAAATAAATCATTTATTAATAAAAAAATACCTAATGCATAGTTACAAAAATAAATTTAATGAAAGAATGCATTTAATATTTAACAATCAGCATTCATTAGTATTATTTATTTACATGATTAAAACATTAGGAGAAATAAGGGAAAAATAACTTTACTACGAAGTTCCTTTATTTATTTATCTCGTGCACCCAGATTTTACGCGCTTTTCTAATAAAGTCGAAAGCATAAAATGCGACCACTACCTAGATGTAATATTTATGTACAGGTCTGTCTAATGACGGCCTAGGAAAAATGGTAGAGGTCGCAAATGTACGACCAAACTCCTTGGCCGCTCGCCTGGCTGGCGAGAAACTTCTTTTTCTTTTTCGTGTTTTTTATTGATTGTCACTTTATTCTCTTCTCTTGACTTTTCTACTTCGAACTAAACATGTAACTGATTTTATTTCTACAATATAATTTCATTTTTTACACCATAAAGCCTTTCATTGAATAATCTCTCGTAGTGTCGGTGACTTAGATTAGAGTATTTCTCAAAAAAAGTGTAAATTTTGAAAAAAAAAAGTGTGCTTTGAAACAGTTCAAAAGTTTTATATTTATAAATCATCACACAAAAAAAACACACACACAATTTTGAAGGATGAATATTAATCTTTAAGATAACGAAGAATTATAGCTATAATCCTACTTATTACCAAATATTTAGATATTTTAAAAATAGTCCTTTTTACCTTTCATACAAAAACCTGTTTGCCACCCTAGCTTTTTCATGTACTTTTGTTTCATAAAATGCGATACGTAACTTAATTATTGTAAATTTCTTTGTATTATCGTTCTACAGTAATCGCAGTTTCTGTATCAAATTGATTTTCTATGGGGTGTCATAATGAATTGGCAATTTAAAGCAAAAAAACAAAATGAGTCGCTCTCATTTACTATTTCGTTATTTACTCTTTAGTTACGATTTATTTCTACTTTCCCATGGTTTCTGAACAATTCCGTATTTATTTTACACGGACAACAATAGCTGCACTCTGAATGGCTGTTGGCCTGACGTCTCCGCCATAACATCTATCGCGAAAATTAGTGAAAACGTGTGTGTTTTGTGGGATTACTTTTTCGTAACAGGCAGTAAAATCAGCGATTTTATATAGAACGGTAAGTCTTCATTTAACCATTTTTTGTAATACGTGTGGTACGAACATTTAGTAAGCTTTTATATTTGCTGTAACAAATTTTATCAAAAAAATACTTGTTTCTGATCTCATTTTGTCTAATATTTCGTTACGTTTTTTACGAATTTCGTTACGTTACGAAAAAGTACAACATAATGCTGAGTGTATACTGTTATTACCTGACTAAGCATAGTAATATTCACTACTTAATTTATTTCAAAAAATATAGAGCGTTAATAACAAAAGGATTGGATACTATCTGCTTTACAGAAGTGCCACCAGCAAAAAATTATCAAATCATTTAGATTACGTTTTTATGTGATTACTTCTTTTGTTTTTTTAGGAATGCCGCCAAAAACCAATGCCGAAAGGCAAAAAGCTTACAGAGAACGACTCAAAATGGATAAACATGATGGTACAAAAATAATTTTATTAAAATAGTATGAATGATTACTCCCTTATTTTATTTCTAACCCCTTAATATTACCCCGTATTTGGGTGCATACTTACAAATATTTCAAATTGAATAAATGAAGAGCATTCACAATATTTCGCCAATGTATAACAAGCCTTATGGCCTTACTATTTCGTTACTACCGTTTCGTTACGTACATTTTTTTTGAGAAATACTCATTAATGTTTTATTAATCTAAGGTCGGTGACGTATTTCGTTCAATTTAAAACCATGGAAGGTTGAAGGAAGAGCATAAAGAGGACTACATCCAACTACATCATACAAGTCCACAATAACATCAAATAATATTAAATAACTTATGTCAATACTACCGTTGTTGAGCAATAAAAAAGTGTTTTATGCCAAATCATTTCAAATATTACATTTATAATTATTTTAAATAGGTAGGTATTATATTTATAATATGTCAGAAGTCAGAGCAAAATCAAAGAAAGTTTTTTAATAATATTATTTTTATTTTTTATTGTGGTTTCAACACAGTAAATACATTAATTAAATCAATAAATTGTTTAACAATCGATAATTCGTGTCACAAATTACGTAACAAAGGCGCGGTGGCGTCTCTAATCAATCAATCATTCAATCAATCAATATATCAGTTACCTACGGGTGCCTACGGTATCTAGTAATTTATGCAATTATTATAATAGAATAATAATAAATGTAATATGATATTTTTTACACATTACTAAAGAGCTACTATAACCTGCCAAAAGTGCCAATTAAGCGTATAATATTAGGATAAATATCTCCAGTAATGTATTACTGACAATACTATGACATTAAACATTTGGATACGACAAATTTGACAATAAATTTATAACGAAATCCTTAAAATTAGAACACATTCCTAGCAACTTAACTACCTATTAGGCCAGTCAAATTAGATTTTGCGCAATGAATAACTTTGGAGCCAAGTTACTGCAAAATTTTGGAACTTTTTTCAGTTTTTGCTTTATCTCTCACAATTTTTGGATCTAATTTGACAGGCCAATATTCTGTTACATACTGCCAAATATTCTTAACAATTAATATTATTAATTATAAAAAAAAAAACCGACCGAAACCGAATTAATATTTATGTATACCATGATTGATACTTCTGGAGTCGGTGCCAAGTTTATGAAACGTGTGAACTTTGGTATACATAAATATTAATTCGTCCTAATAAATAAGATTAGAAATTATTTTTCTACTTTTTAGTGTATGTTTTTTGGAGTCGGTTTTTTTATTTTTATAAAAATTAACTTATTTCTTGCTTTTTTTTAGTTACTTATTATTACCTTGATGTTACCACTGAATGTAAGCCGTACATTGAGACTATATTCTTCATGTCAAGTGTAAAATAATAATCCCTACAAAATACAGGTTACCATATCGGCAACCTAAAAAGACCTTAAACCGTCAGCCCACCTTAAAAACATGAAAGAATACAACTGTTGGTCTATTTGTTCCTATAATATTTAAAGAATTATCCTCCAACTCCTAAGCGTTAAGGAGTTGTACGTACCATGACCAGTTCATCATGATGAGATGATGACTATCTAATGCAAACACTTGAATAACTTTAGAAACTATACTTATGTATAAAATTAAAAGAATCATCCTCCAACTCCTAAGCATTAAGGAGTTTTACTTCTATCATCAACTCATCAATATGAGATGATGATTTTCAGAAGTAAATACTTGAATAACTTTAGAAAACGTTTGAAAAACGATATATG